GTAGACTAAATTATACANANACACACACACACACACACACACAAAGAACCAGNATAAAACATATATATATATATATAATTATATATATATATATATATATGTTTTGCGTATATCGGACATTGCTACACTAGATAGACCGGGGTCTTGAAAGTCACGCCAGTAGTACGCAAGCTATACCAAAAGTAGTTTAAAACATGAGCATCGGTGTGTATCAAACGGCGTGTAACCGCCACCAATAAAGTAACGCAGCAGTCGACCTCTACCGGAATCCATCGGTTGATCTGTTTGGATACATTTCTTTATATCGGTATCTTATCTGGGTATTTATAACATATTTTCTTTACTGGAAGTATACCAAGTAGTGAAACCCTAAGGCTGTGCTCGTATTCGCTGTGTCAGTCGTACAGGCCAAAGCCAGTTTGACCTTCTACACCACCACATACATTGGCTGTTGTAAAGATGTTACCGGCTTGAAGGCAATATATGAACATCTGTGATATGACTATGAAAATCGGGTGTAGATCACAATCCCAATCCCAAAAACACATTGTAGAATGGTTTCTGTCAGTCGGTTGCACGGGCTCTCCCTGTCGCGATTCGTCGGGCTATTCCAATTTTCAACAGACCACAGACACAACGTACAGACGGTATGGATTAGAGCACTGTCCTTATCGGACCGGATCATTGTACTATTCGATAGATATTGGGATTCAGAAGTAAGACACCCATGTAAACCGAGTCTCCATACAGCACCGATACACCGTGGCACAATGTGCTGTACTCTCACCATTGTAGTCCGGGTGTATGTCTGTCCACGAAAATGCCCCACTCCAATCAATCGGACGACGCTAACACATACAATAGAAAATCCTCTGCACACCGTGACTGCACAGAGTTCAGAAGGTACAAAACGAATAAACGTCCGCACCAACCATGGATACACGCCCACTCACCATGGTGTACACCCTTCGCTCATCCTTGTGCACACGTTCAGGGAGATTCGTTTCAAGAAAAGTGTCAACGGGAAACACAACACTTCAGTCAGTTACACTAGCTTAGGTATGTATATCACTGAACAGAATACGTTAACTAATCTAATGTCTCCATTCGCTCTTACGGCTTGTCGTCGTGTTCGACCTCTTCTGCATCCACATCCATATCGTCCGCGTCCGTCCGCGTCCGCGCGACATCTGTGGCATTTTGTGCATGTGCCTCCGCTGTCGTAGCGCGCGGACGCCGGTACGGAGGCGACGTACTGGAATACACCGGCGCGCGCGTCTGCGCGCTCACGCGGCGTTCGCCTGATGCGCCTCTGTGGCGTTGGCGTTCGCGCTCTCTCTCACGCTGACGCTCGCGGGAGGCCTGCACGCGGCCACTCCACATAGCGCCGGCGCCGACGCGTGTGCGAGTGGTGGGTTTGCCGGGTCTCTCGCCTACGTTCGAGAGCGCCCGCATGGCAGAGCTGCTCATCGACATACCACGAGTACTCCCCTCCCCAGGATCTAGATCTTGCTCATCCCCCTCGTCCTCCGACTCGTCCTGCCCATGACTCATACCCCGAGAGTCTCTATCCATGCCGTCTGCAGGCACAGGCGCAGCAGGATTGGGCTCCCCACAGACGTCGCCACTGTCATCGCCATCACTGTTGCTATGGTCGTTGCTATGCTCATCACTATCCGAACCAGCCACTGCGGTTGGGTGTAGGTCTGAATCAGCGTCGCTGTTGTTGTCTTCGTTCATGGGTGTGTCATGTGGTTCTCCTTCGTCCTCTTCCTCGTCACTGTCGTCTGCGAAGGTGTTGCGAGATGTCAGTGTCGAGTGGTATAAGCATATATGTATAAAGTGAAGAGTGGTGTAATCTGATATGTATAAAGTGAAGCGGCGAAAGAAACAAGCCAACAGGTACATATATAAACGTAAAGCAGTGGTATCGTGATTACAGATAATCTAGCAACAAAGCATTACACATATCAGTGGTACTCAGACAGAACATAACCACAGTCAATAGCACAAAGATACGATATATGTAGTACAAGGGATGCATTATAGCGCATGGCCACACACACCACTACGATCATATATCAACTAGAAGTGGGTGTAATATAGCGTATTCCTGTACAAGCCCCGACGATCATATAATTACTATAAGAGGTGTATTGTAGCACATTTGCACACACACCCTTACGATTATATATGTAAAATAAGGCGTGTACTATAGAGTATTGCCACACACACGTGCAGAATAGACAATCAGGTCCATACCTGAGCCGTCGGTGCCTCGTAACGCATTCTGAAGTCTACGTGTGGTAAAGAGCGCTGCCAGAGAAGAAGCATTGCTGAGCATCACGGCGATGTTGCCTATGCGGATAATCGCACCGTCTGACTACGATGGAATCCAGGATATGCACATGAGCGGACGAGGACGATGACAACAGATGTGCATGTACGATATGTACATCAGATATGTACATAAGATATGTACATAAGACATATACATAAGACATGTACATCAGATATGTGCATCAGATATATACATAAGATAAGTGGATGAGGGGGATGATGCGTGTTTGTCACATGAGTGTGCCGATTTTAGGGTTGAGGATTTCACCCTAATTCACCCTAAATTAAAACGCTAAACCCACAGTCGGAAAGGAGCATCGCGTGTGATTGTATTCGTATTCAACTAGATATGACTTTGGATATATATCATAAATCGTATGGAGTATATATAAATGTGATGAACTTTTTATGAAATGCTCAATAAACTACCCATAGCTGTACGCAAATGTCACATTGCGCCGATATGATGATACGACGTACTTGTACTAGATAGCAACGACAACGGAACAGAGGGGGCGACGGAAAAATACACTGTAGAATCTATAGAATTAACTACGCTCACCACACCGCCAATACGGCATCTCAACCAATACACAGACAGTCTGAGCATGCACACATAAACCTGCACACTAAGTAGTGATAGTCACACACACACACACATACTCCTGTACTACGCACAAAGCCATGTGTGGTTATAGTCACACACACACACACATACTCCTGTACTACGCAGAAAGCCATGTGTAGTTATAGTCACACACACACACATACTCCTGTACTACGCAGAAAGCCATGTGTGGTTATAGTCACACACACACACACACATACTCCGTCGGGGTACGTGATGAAGGGGAAGTTTGAGCCAGAGACGGCAGAAGATCTGGATGTGCGCGCAATGTTCCGTTCCATCGCCTGCGATGATAATATGATAGATGAGATGATAATATGAGAGATGAGATGATAAAATGAGATGATTAAATGAGAGACGAGATGATAATATGATAGATGAGATAATAATATGAGATGATGATATGCGAGATGAGATGATAATATGATAGATGAGATAAAAATATAAGAGATGAGATGATAAAATGAGAGATGAGAGGAGGATATGCGAGATGAGATGATGATATGAGAGGTGAGATGATGGTATGAGAGATGAGATGATGATATGAGAGATGAGATGATAATATGAGAGATGAGATGATAATATGAAAGATGCGATGATAATATGAGAGATGAGATGATAATATGAGAGATGAGATGATAATATGAGAAATGAGATGATGATATGGGAGATGAGATGTCCATGAGAGATGTGCAAATCATAGCCGTAGTCTAAGCAACAGAAGACTGATCACACTCTCGAAATTTTGACCCTTAATGTGTCTGGCAGTACTATCAATGAAGTGACACGGAGCAGCATAGAGACACTGTGTGTGCCAGCTCAGGCATACACAGATTCCCTATAGAGCAGCATATAAACACTGTGTATACCCGCCCAGACATACACAGATTCCCTATAGAGCAGCATATAGACGCTGTGTATGCCAGCTCAAATATACACAGATTCCCTATAGATTATCGATGGCTATTTAAACATTCACAGAGAGAGAGAGAGAGAGAGAGAGAGAGTGTGTGTGGTGATATGGAATGCTATGAAATGCTCACAAATGTTAAGAGAGAGAGAGAGAGAGAGTGTGTGTGTGGTGATATGGAATGCTATGCAATGCTCACAAATGTTAAGAGAGAGAGAGAGAGAGAGAGAGAGAGAGTGTGTGTGTGTGGTGATATGGAATGCTATGAAATGCTCACAAAAGTTATTCAATCCGAAATCCGACACATATTAACACCAGGACGCTCACGAGCCCAGCTTTCAATGTTAGTTTAGTATCTCCAATAAACACGCGATTAAACTGCCGCTGCTCTTTATGTGTTCGCATGGGAGGCCAGCGGTTGATGCTTGTTTGGTATCTCCAATAAACACGTGTTTAAACTGCCGCGACGCCGATGTACACACCTCTTGGGCGTCTTTGAGGTCCACGGGCTGTATGGCAGTGGGCTCGAACACCTGCACGAGATGTACATAACAAACGAACATAAATAGAACGTAAATAGGTCAAAAATAGTCCCTTGCGTGCAGGTCAAGGACGTCTGGAAGAGGACTTTTAACAAAAGAACATAAATAGGTCAAAAGTAGTCCCCTGCTTGCAGGTCAAGAACGTCTGGAAGAGGACTAATAACAAATGAAAATAAATAGGTGAAAAGTAGTCACTTACTTACAAGACAGAGGACTATGAAACTCGAAGACAAATTAGCGATATGCAAAGTAATACCACAAATACACTACTCGCACAAAAGCAAAGCTGTCCATCGTCTGGCAGTCAATGCACTATCTCGTCTATTTGTTTGTGCCAGATACTCAACATCCACTCACACACGCCTCAACATATTTAAGCGAAACAAGTCAGTAGAACACACGTACTTTAATAGTCAGATACATAACACTCACTCAAACACGCCTCAACATATATAAGCGAAACAAGTCAGTCGAACACACGTACTTTAATAGTCAGATACATAACACCCACTCAGACACGCCTCAACATATATAAGCGAAACAAGTCAGTAGAACAAACACACGTACTTTAATAGTCAGATAAACAACACCCACTCGTAAACACCTCAACATATATAAGCGAAACAAGTCAGTAGAACAAACACACGTACTTTAATAGTCAGATAAGCAACACCCACTAGTACACACCTCAACATATATAAGCAAAACGA